CCCGCCCCCATGACCCCCCCCCCCCCGCGGGTATCCCTTCCTCGGGAGCTCCAGAATTAGAATCCCCCCTTATTACCCTATTCACATACAAGTGTTTGATACAAGTATTCTTCTTTTTGTGGAATAGGCCTACTGGGGAAACCACGATAAAAAAGCATCTTACAATAGTACCTCACAGATGATGTGAAAAGCTATTGTCGAAATGTACGTCATCAAAATTATGTAATGTATTAGAAAACTATGTTAAGATATAAATATATCATTATGGAACAATGAATAAATTAACAATAGAAAATTTTATGTTAATAAAAATAAATTATTTAATAAAAAAAACATGCTTCAATAATAATTTGGCGGAAGATGTGCTCCTAGTATATTTCTGATATAGAGACGCTTCTGAGCCACAATATCGCGCGCGCGATCGATAGCTAGGCCGCCAAGTCTCGAGCGGTAGTGAGGGTCGCTCGCTGGAATTAGTCCGAAATGTGCAGATCTTTGCGAGCACTGATGTAAATAAATCACACATTGTTAATAAAACTTCATTGTAAATTTTAAATTTATCATTTCATTGTTAGAATACCACGACGTTATAAATTTTTTATTATTATGTTGGAATCAATTATATGTTAATATGTAAGTATTAATAAAGTTACTGTTGACTGTTGCGCGATTGTTAGGTTTTATCTTTTTTTATTAACTTTGAGAATAACTTGCGAACATCTAGTTTTGGCTCACAACCTTTATTTCTTTTTAATGATATATTTAAAAGAAGAGCCTTTCAATTCGTGTACACGAAATTTCGTGCAGGCGGTGCGCAAGTAGGTAGGCTGTTTTAAAAAATTGATTCTTTTCTAAAATTAATTTTATCGTTGTTCGTTCTCTTTCAGATGATCAATCGTATACTTTTTGTCTGAAACATTTCATTAAATGAAATAGAAAATATTTAGGTTGGGACATTAAAACAGATAAATAATATATAAATATCAAAGATTTTCATTATTTATTAACAATATTATAATATGACAACGGTGTACAATTTTTTAAATATCTTCTTACAAAATTATGTCTTTTTATATTTGACGAATAAAAAAATACTATTGTAAAATCAACAACTGTGAGTATAAAGGTTCCGAAAAAGTTTTTAGCAACAAATTGTTGCTTGAAAACACTGCTAGCATGAGAAACGTACTCTTGAATTTGATCTTAATTACATAAGCATTACAAATTATGAACTGTTATTTTTTAGATAATAAAAATGAGGTATATGTTAATAATATGATTTCTTAAGAAGTATATACATCATTCTTTGTAACAAAAAAAAATGTTATTTTGTAACTCACAAGGAAAGGCTCCCAGGTATCTCTTTCCAATTTTGGTAAAACTTGGTAGGAATAGCATTATAGAAAGGATAAAGATATTCAATATATATTTTTTATCAGTAGTTAAACATGTTTAAGGAATAAAATCAGTTCGATCAATATTTTGATGAATATTTTGATTTGAACTTCTTATATTTTTCGTTTAACTTCTAAACAAAGTATGATAGCATAATTTTCTCCAGATTTCATCCATTCTCCAGATGCGCTGTTAGATTTCTGCTGCTCGCATGCATTTTCGAGAGTACCTGGTAATATGAATATAGAAAAAGAACACAGTATGTTTCTCTTTCTATAGAAAAAGAAAGATAAAGTGTGTTAAACAAGAAAAGATTCAGTATCAATTTCACGACACGAAGCAGGTCGGTATTCATAGTGTCGATTCTTACATTTAAGACTGTCTTAAGATATCATAAGTCAATCTGAAGTAGTATTAGCATCTTAAGGCATTATTAAGACAGTTTTAAAATAAAAACGGACTATGAATATCACCTTATGTTTAGCGTTTCACAGTTGGCAGTCTTAGTCTCTTATTGACATTTATAAACAGAGACGATGGAGATTCAAAGAGAGACGCTTGCAAATTACACATCATGTTGGGTTTCACTATACTTCCACCATAGATAGGTGAGATCGAAATGAACATAGAAGTACCATACCGTTTAGTGATATTATGCAATAATAATCGAGATATTGTGTTTGTACTAATAAGAGCACGTCGAGAGAAACGCTCGTTGAGTGGTGAGAGAAGTCTCGCGAGACACCCTGAAGAAAACCTCTAATATTTAATATGAAGAAAGAAACATTATTACCTCTTTTGATGTGTTGCTTTATAATTCAATTATCTCTTCAGATTAATATTGACTTCTGAATGACAACTGAATTGCATTCAATCAAGATATAAAGAATCAGGTAAGAATGGTATAAATGGAAAATCGCGAGACAACGCCAAATTTACTGCCGAACGGATATCTTCCTCAATTTGAGCCATTTCCAATTGTATCAAACTGTCTCCGATATTAATGTTCTGTGACAATAAAAAGAATTCATAAAATTTGAAGACAAATAAGTATACATGGTGTCCCGAATTTAAATAGCCTTCGAGAATGTGTAGGGATCTATAAACTAAGAAAAAAAATTCTTTAGAAATATGCTCGTTTGTGCTTTGTTTTGGAGAAAATCGCAAAAAAAAAATAAAATGTACGTCCATTTTCGTACTTTTGATTTATTATTTATTCATTTACACTTATTTATTCACATTGTCACTTGCCTAATGCAGATATTGTTCAAAATGTAGACCTTTTACAGCAATACATGCATGCATCTTGTACGAACAGTTCGTGTTGCAACCAAACACTGATCTGGTCAATGTAAATGACTCGCTAATACTCTTCTATCTGGAAATCGGCGCGCATACTTTCGCATTGTCTCTAAAACATTATCGCTGAAGTCATATACGAAAAACAATATTCGCTTTGAAAACAATAATATTCCAAAATTAGTTTTGTCTCTTTTGGCAATTTGCCAAGCAATAACGAGCATATCTCTAAAAGATTTTTTTTCTTATAGCAAATTTGATTGGACGTATTAGTGCATATTAATACCGTTGTACATTGATTCAACTTACGTAAAAGTAAAATGCAGATATTTTGAATTATAAAATATAGCTTTATTTAATAGCACAATAAAATATATTGAGAATTTTATGGTTTTTATATTTATCATCCGTTTTTATATTTATATTAAACACACATTTTTACTTCAATTTGTGTACAGCGGCATTAATGTGCACCAGTACGCACTGAGTACATCCAATCAAATTCGCTATTAGTTTATCGATTTCCAACACGTTCCTGAAGTTTGCCCATTTAAATTCGGGACAGCCTTTAGAGTACATATTCTAAAGACAAGTTTTCCTCTTAGAACAATTGAAGATTATCTCGATACAATTTTTAAATAAAATATTCTTTTATCATGTGTGTGATACTACAATTTGAGATATAAATATATTTTTAAATTTATATATTTAATATTAATATAAAATGAAAGTTAATAGGATGGAAAACTCAATAATGCGCGCGCTTGTTATGTTCTAGTATAATTAAAAATTAATTTCACATATACGTATGTCCGTATTTATAGTCATCTTATATTTAAAATTATTCTTTAAATTCTTCTTTAAATTTATCTTTAGATGCACAATAGCTAATAAAATAATTCCTAGAGCATCTGAAGATAAATTTAAGTCCACAATCTTGCAACACTGACATAGAGTATAGCGTACAGAACAATTATTCGCGATACAAAAATTCAAAAAATTTTTCATAGAGAAGAAAAAGATATCTAAATTGCAAAAAATAACGCAAGATAAAACCATTGCTGTAATAAACATTAACATGTAATAGATGTAAATATATATTTATTTTCACTCATTAAGTGCCTTTAGGGATTTAATAACTGTTTTTTTTAAATTTAATTTATAGATATTTAATGTTAATTATTTAATCATTATAATAATTATTTATTATTTCTACTATACTTTCCTGAAGATATTCAATAAATAATCAAAATAAACAAAATAAATGGCGAAAAAGAGTCGTCGCATAATATATATAATTAAAGATAATAGTCATAGATACATAAAATAAAAAGTAAAACGGCGTATATTAAAATATAAAACAAACAAGTTTCGGCTGCTGGATTGAGCCCTCCTCAGATGTAAAAAGAATATAATATAAAAGACATAAAAGAATACAACAAAAAAATAATAATAAATCGATAACATTCAGTGACGCAACATTTTTAACGCGCGGAAATCAGCAAATGTGATGGATCTCGACGTAGCTTAATGTTGTATATGCGATGGGGCAATCAAACCGATGTTAAGAAACATAGTCAAGCTGACTGAAAAACGGAAAAGGAAGGGAACTTATAAGAAACAAGTAAACTAAAAAACTTAAAAACTTAAAAACTAAACACGCCGCAGATAAGAAGCCAAGTGCTCACTCACCAACGCATCCGAACAGGAAATGAGAACCGCCGCAATGCATGACAGGTGTGAAAACCCATGACAATGATAGGGATGTAATCGTCGAAGTCAGACATGTCAACATCGCACGTGACACCGACCGCTCGCTAAAACGGCACGCGACGCACTGAGAGAGGAGACGGGTCGACAGGATCGAAAGTCAGACTTTGTTTATAATCGGCAGATATGCCTTATTAAGACCCTCGGTGTCAGTCTGTAAATTAAGACTGTTCTTCTGTTTTTTAATATGCAGCATCTCCGAAATCAAACGCTTTCTATACGAAGGCTCCTCGTCTAATATCAGAACATTGTCCCATTGAAAATCGTGATTGTGACTCAACCTATGATCGGTGATGACAGAGCGGGCAGAAGCTTTATGTCTAATATGATTACGATGTTCGGCAATCCTAGTTTTTAATTGCCTGCCCGTCTGTCCAACGTAAGAAGCGTCACAATCATTACATAAAATTTTATAAACAACGTTGCTTCTCGGTGTGCTGGGACAAGAATCCTTCTGGACTCTTATGTATTTGCCCATTTTGTTAGGGCTGCGGAAGGCCACCCTGATATCACTTTTGCTTTTATTCAAAGATCTAAGTTTCTCCGTATGAAGCGGAATGAAAGGCACCGTAAGCCAAGAGGTAGACTTATTAGTTAAGTCAATGTCAGTCGCGGTATCGTATAATCTGTGTCTATTTCTAATCAAATTTTTGATCCTATGATTGATGGAGTCAAAAATAAAGTCTAGTGGGTAGTCATTCAGAAGTAAAATGTCAATGATGGAGGTCAAATTTTTTGTGTGAAACCTAACGTCAGATAATAAAAAGGCTCTGTCGACTAATGAAAAGATGGTGCCTTTTTTCTGCGTCAATGGATGATTAGTGGAAGTTTAAAAATCTACCTGAAAACGTTGGCTTACGGTACCAATCGAAATTAAAGCGATTATTGTTGACAGACACAGTGACGTCCAAGAAATTGATCGTTTTTCCGCCTCTTTCTACGGTAAACTGTAGGCGCGGATGGAATGCATTAAATCTCTCTAATAACACGTCGATCTGAGAGGGGGGCAACGCAGTGCATATGTCGTCAACATATCTGTAATAGAATAGAATGTCCAAATTCACAGACATCAAGGACACCGTCTCCAATCTCCTCAACACTAAGTCCGCTATCACCGGTGATATTGGAGCCAAAGCTCTGCCTGTAAAAAACATTGTCAAAGACAAAAAACGAAGAGTCCAGGACAAATCGTATCGCTCCCAAAAATTCTTTCTTGGGTAGAGAGCAATCCCCAGAAACCGCCGGCCAATGTTCGTTAACGCAGTCGATCGCTACATCCGTTGGCACGTTCGTGAACAGAGAGGTAACGTCCAAAGACGTTAACTCATATGTCCCCGAAAAGTGCACATCCCTCAGCCTCTCAACCAGTTCAAAACTGTTTTTCATATAACTGTCAGTTCTCGGGATGGTTTTAAATAATTTCTTGTGTAAAAACGTAGCCAAAGCATGTAGCGGACTGCTCACCGATGACACTATAATTCTAAGAGGACAATCAGGCTTGTGAATCTTTGGCAGCCCATAAGCCCTCGGGAGAGAACCGTCACTGCAGTACAAAGCTTTGTACTCAGAATCCTTGATGTGACTTCTGGTCTTCCATCTAGTGAGCATAGACCTCAAGGCTGACGTAAGCTTTTTGGTCGGATCTCCTTTAATCCGGACATACGTGTCCCAATAACTCGGTCATTCTGTCTCTGTAAACGTCCCTATCCATGGCCACAGTGACGTTGCCCTTATCCGCCAGCGTAAACAAGACGCTGGGATGCGCCGTCAAAAACGCTCGAGTGTCCGACTCTAATACAGCCAAACACTTATGGATGTCAGAAGTGAAGACTGGAGACAAGACGATGTTTTTCATGATGGGAATGGATTGATTAATCACATCCATTCTCCTATCTAAGGGCATTCTTAGTGTGCCACTCTCAATCCCTTTGATACAGTCAAAAATGATCCTGTTCTTATTGTTAAAGGGGAGCGCGAAGTTGTTACCCAGTTGCAGGAAACATTGAACATTGTGAGGGATAACGCACGAAGACAAGTTCAGAAACCAGCCATCCCTGACAGTGGACAGAGACGACGGAACCTGAGGAGGAAGAGTTGGGAAAAATGGAAATCATAGGACTAGGCGAACTGTTAGTTGGAAAGGAAGAAGGGTCGACTACGTACGGAGCTGGGTTAACGAGAGAGTCGCGCCCCAAAGATCCAAAGGAATTGCCCGAAGTTGAATTGATTGGCCTACGGACAGAGTCGAGACTGTATTGAATGGGCACGATCCCAACGATGGATCGCTTAAACTTTTTGTTGATCAGCCATCGGAGCTTGGAATCGAGCCTCTCCCTTTCTTTGGTAAAGAAGCGATGACATGATTTTCCCTGAGTCCGCAGGAACTCGTCACCAATGTTCATCGGCAGAAAAACCGAGATGCAGCCCACCAGATGGAAAAGCCAGGCTCTGTATCGGTCAATAGCCCTATACGAATCACTCAACTCAATGCGCAAAATCCTCTTAATCATCAAAGATTTGAGATTTCACAACTTTTTGTCCGAACTGGAACTATAGAAACTAATACTAAAATTGTCAAAAACGTTCAAGTGTCTCGGAGTGACATCGTTGAGAATACACTGCTTAATGAAACGTGCGTGTACATAATTCTTCACAATAAGACGGCGGCATTTAATCCAAGACTTTAAGCAATTGACA